GGTTGTTATTGCAGGGAAGGGGTGTGAGGGATGAGTTGCGGGAAATGTGGGAGACACGGTTGAGGGCGTTCTCGACCACTGAGGCGGGGAAGTTGCCGTCCTTGAAAAACGAGGACATCTGAGATGTGCGGGAGTGGAATGCCTCATCCTGGGAGCAGATGCTGCGGAGGCGAAGGAATTGGGAATAAGGGATGGCATTTTTGCAGGAAGGTGTGTGGGAGGAGGTGTATTCTCGGTAGCTGCGGGAGTCGGTGGGCTTGAAATGGATATCGGTTTCTGGGTGGTTGCCAGAGATGGAAACAGAGAGGTCCAGGAAGGAAAGACCGGTATTAGAGATGGTCCAGGTGAACTTAAGGTTGGGGTGGAAGGTGTTGGTGAAGTATTGAGCTGTTCGAGCTCCTCGTGGGAGCACGAGGCGGCGCCGATACAGTCATCAATGTAACGGAGGAAGAGGTGGGGTTTAGGGATGGTTCGCAACTGGGAGGTGCAGTTGTTTATTGCGAACCGAGCGTAGGTGTTCTGCAAAGCGGTCCCCAAGCCTCCACTTGGTTTTCCCGATGTAGAGGAGGTCACAACGGGAACAGCGGATGCAGTATACCACATTAGCAGATGTGCAGGTGAACATCTGCTTGATGTGGAAAGTCTTCTTGGGGCCTGGGATGGCGGTGAGGGGGGAGGTGTAGGGGCAGGTGTAGCACTTCCTGCGGTTGCAGGGAAAAGTGCCGGGTGTGGTGGGGCTGGAGGGGAGTGTGGAACAGACAAGGGAGTCACGGAGAGAGTGGTCCCTGTTTAGATGCAAAGAGTAGGTCTCCCTATACTGTGATTTCAATATTCTTCTGCACGGAGAAGATGAGAATCTATAGCGTAGTCAGGCAAGTTTATGATCACTATGAGAGATATTGTCCATTTAGTCGTGTCTAGTAAACTGGAGTCTACAAGAATCTTCACCAAGACTGTGGAAATGCCAACTGTGCATTGGATCAACTACATTTGTGAGCTGGTTAGCAAAAAGTAATTTCAACATGAAACATTATTGGGTTTGTTCTTTTGATATTTGTTTTAACTTAGCAGACTGTTGAATTCTTGCAATAAGATAAGAGTTAGAAAGGACATTGCCAAATGTTGGCACTGCTTAAGGGTTCACAATAAACAGGTGCCTCAGCTTCACTTTTGCTCAGATGTGGCTGCAAATTCAAGGGTTTTGTAAACAGCAACCAATTAAAATGAAGTCCTAAAAGGTTGTTCTGAAATATATTTGATTATCCTTTTGAGTGCTGTTTCTCCTGGTGAATGGAACACCTGGCCATCATGTGACCCCTAGCTAAATGTAGGGGCAAGTAGGGCATAGGCTGAATGTAGAGTTGGGCAGAGTACTTGTGGATTGGAAGGCAGGAAGTTAGAATTTTGTGGTTGTAAAATGTTAAGGGGAAAGCAGTGTGTGGTTCCTTTAAAAGATGATGTCCTTTTTCTCTGCTTAGAGATTTAGAGAGGATGTCTGTGGGTAGCAGCTTGTGGGTTTGCAGGCACACAGACAGCACTAGAATTGGAACATTTGTATCAAAAGGCCGTACCGTTAGCAACACAAACAGCAGTTTTGATTTGTTATCAAGACAACAAGTTTTGATTTTAACCAATCAATTAGAATCAGGCACTTAGACACCAAATACCAATTGAATTTCGATCTGATGGTTTTGACAACATAACACCAATCCTATTGTAAGAAATTGAAATGTCATTGAAGGTATAAAAGAAGTGGGCAGTTGGAAAATCAGGAGAACTAACCACCATCTGCTAGAGTTAACAGTTTTCAGCTCGCAAGAGAGATTCACCATGTCTCTCAGTTTTCTTGAAGTCTTAGAGAAAGCACCATCTAAATCAAAGGTATCTATGGCACAATTAGTTAATGTTCCTGATGGAAAATTCAATGGAGAAGGTGTTCCTGACATAACATTTGACAGAAATGGCACAGAACATTCCGGAAGACACGTAACCTGGCTGTAATTTTGAGAGACTAAAGTCTATGCTTTTTTAAAAAAATTTTATATAAGTGGGACTTGTATTTATTGGAACAGCATACCATTAGAACCTTGTTTATTCAGGAATAGTTAGTAGCTAGAAGGGGTTTATTCAGTTTGTTAATAGTTTAGTTAATTTGTTGACTGTTAGAGTTGCTTAAATAAATTGTTACTTGATTGTAAAGCAGTGTCAGGGATTTCTTTTAGTTAACCACTAGGAGTTGCTGAAAGACAGGTTACATCACTTTTCACACTCCTTTTACAGATTATAGGGCGAGGCACTCCTCTTTGGGTGTTTCAGTTTTAGTTCACAGAGGTGGGGAGGGTGGGCGGTCAACCTTTGCTTTATAACAGCTGCTAACAAATAGGTACAACGTCCTCTTCTTTCTGCTCCAGGATTTCTGGAGTCAGATGCTGGTGTGTGAGATATGACTCGTGAATAACATTTTCCCTCTGTCCCACTTTCTCCCTGTGTAGATAGCTCCAACTTTCAAATGGCATTTTCCTGGCACCATGATTATCTTAAGAGCCATGAGAGGGAAGCATCACCAGTACACATCCGCGCTCTCACAAGAACCAAACAAATTCACAGTGAAGGGGAGCAGTAGTCAGTGGTGAGGTTGTGGTTGGGGTAATGTTGGGACAATAGATAGCTGACACAGTATAGAATACTTAACCATTAAGAATAGTATGGCATCTTCCTGAGTCAGGTCCTCACTCACTGCTTGAATGGTGTCTGATAATGAGGTGGACTCGAAGGTCAGTTGCATAATGATTTCTTCCAGCACAGTGAATCGCTGCCACGCGTCGTTATGGAGTTCCTGCATAATATTCTCCTCTTCCATTCTCAGGTACTCATGAAGACGCACAAAGACCCTCCCAATGCTCTGCTCTGTCAGAGACACTTCGTCCTACAGAAAGTAACCACAGCACATAGGATTAAAACGAGAAGTGGGTGGGGGTGTTGAGGGGTGTTGGGGTGGGCCAGCGTGAGAGCAAGGGAAGGACAGAGAGGACAAATGACAAAGCACAGTAGGGAGGAGAAAAGAGACAATGGAGCTTTGGGGCTAAATTAGCCAACTGGGTTCAGGATGCCACTCACCCAGTTTCGATCAATTTGGTGTCAATACATGAGCGAGTGCCTCCAATCCCTTTGCCTACATAGTCCTGCTATTGGTGACCTATACTTGTGCCAGATCACTGTCTGACAGCTAAGCAGAGGGGAAGTCAACTGTTTCTAGCCTCATGGAATGAGCCTTGATGTCAAGTACAAATAAAAGTTTTTGCCCATTTCTAATAATTTTATAACTAATAAACAAAAGTATTCAAAGTATATTTTTAAAAAGAACACAATATATAGTGTCTTATCATCCCAGGATGCTTACATCAGAAATTAATCAACAAGAAGGCAAATGCCTGGTTCTGTTACCTCTTTTGTGCCGCGGCTAATATATACCTGTAAACTCACATTAACGAAAATATTATCTTATCATGATCACTTCGCTGATAGTGTGTTTTTGCTGTGTACAAATTGATTGTTGCATTATCCTCCATGACAGAAGTGACCACACTACAAAATCACTTAATTGTGGTTAACTCAATAACTTAAAGTCTGAGGCACTTGGGGTGATCAGAAGGCGTAAAAGGCGTTATATAAATGCAAGCTTCTTTCAATGTTAATTAAGGTGCAATCATCAAACCCTAACACTTGCAGCTAAGTGTGTCTCACTCATTTTGTGGTATAGTTACCTGAGCATCAGCTATCCTATAGTTCCTGATCCTTATGACCAATCATTCATTGCTAAATAACAAGAGACTATTTGAGCATCAGGGTAACAGCTGGGCAGACACCTACAGTGGCAAAATTTAGTGGGGGTTTCGGGGGAGGTGGTGGTGTGCAGGTTCTAAAAAGCTGAGTTAATTATTTCTGAGACTACATAATTAAACGTATAGACTTCAGAAGTGAGAATTAAAAGTTAAAATGTAATCAAATGAAAAGCACCTCCTGAATCCACTTATGCTGATATACATTATAGAAACAGAAAGTGCTGGCGAATCCCAACAGGTCTGGCAGCATCAGTGGAGACAGACTCAGAGTTAATGACTCAAGTCCAATATAATCTACTTTGGATCAATTTTCTGCTTTCATTTCAGCTGTCCAATATCCGCAGCACCTCGCTCTTACCGACACACATATAGACTTCCATACATTTGCTTTGCTACTTTTCGCATATTCCTCTTTCTGTTAATGCAACAGTTTTCATATTTTTGCACAACTATATGACTGTATCAAAACTTCAAACCTGCTAGTAATTTAATCTAGCCTGCCCTAATTGTAACAATATGCATTTTGCCAGTACATATCCAGTGAAAAGTATACAACATTGACAATTTGCAATCAGATTAATCATATTCCCCTTTCTCAAATAAAACAAATCTGTAATTAAAATGTAAATTTTTAAGTCAGTCATTCTAATGCACAGTATTCATTTCCCATATTTTTGTGTGTGTGTGTGTGTGTGTGTGGGAGAGGGAGTGTGTGTGTGCGTATCTGTCTGCTAGAGAGAGAGAGTGTGTGTGTGTGTGTGTGTGTGTGTGTGTGTGTGTGTGTGTTGGGGTGTGGGAGGAGTGTGGGGTTGTTTCAAGGCTGAAGTTTTTTGCACAGCCCAGTCAGTCATGGCCTTGGACTCAAAATGTATAGTCTCTAACTTCTGGTTGCTTGTTGTTACAATTCCCTGCCCCCATGCCCACTCTAACCTCTCTGTCCTTGGTCTCTTCCTCAATGAAAGCTTGAGGTGCAACATCTCACCTTTCAATTAGGCATTTTACAGCCTTCTGGACTCAACATTGTACTCAATAGTTTTGGACCATAACATTTTCTTCAAACATGTTAATGATTCTGCTGTTGTCATTTATACCTCTTCCAGACCCGTCTTTTAACTATTTCACGCCATTCTTTCCTGTCCTCTTTTCCCTTAAAACATTAATCCTTTAAATATTTAATGTTTCCTGGTTTCCTTCCCATTGCTGCTGTTCTTGTCACTCCCTTACTGTCCCTTCCTTGCTTCCCCACCTTTATATTTTCTTAAAACCTGTACGATTTCTACCCCAAAAAGGAAAAACTTTTGGAATCAGTTGAAAAATGCAACAACGTGACCCTGTCCTCTGACCGGAGTCAGCTAGGTTGTACCGGGATTATCAACAGGTCAATCTAACTGGGAATAAGTCCACACCAGAATATATCGGCAGATGCTGGATGTTCTGCTTCACCAGCAACAGGTAATACAAACTGGAGACTGCAGCACTTATTGTCTCCCTGGACATGAGAAGATACTGAGTTTGCAGGCTGGAAGCCTGGGATTCAACGGGAGTTTGGGAAAGTTAGAAAGTGAGCCTGGCGAGCAGAGCAAGAGGTCAGGGGGAAACACCAGCTGACAGAATCTGAGGGGTGGGGGAAACGAGGGCTACAAAAGGTCAGGAGCAGTGGAAACTGACAGAGGCCAGGAGCAGTGGAAACTGACAGAGGCTAGGGACAGTGGAACCTGACAGAGGCCAGGGACAGTGGAACCTGACTAAGACAAGGAGAGTGGTGGACAACAGAGGAGATTTTTTTTCAGCTCTAATGAAAGGTCACAGACCTGAAATATTGATTTTTTTATCTCCCTCCATAGATGCTACCAGACCGGTGAGTATTTGGGCCACTTTTGCTTGTAATCTACATTTTCTATTGAGTCATTACTTAGCAATCAAGCATTAGAATGATCACTAATTTCCTCAAAAAAGGGATAAATGAAATTGGCAGCACATAGCAATTACTCATCAATCCATCCCCCCAGGCTGCTGTGCTGACTCCACGCTGCAGCTTGTAAATATTAATTAAATATGACCCATGAAAAGAAGGCTATGAAACTGCAGGATATGGATTTGATTGGCAGATTAACTCAGCAAAGAATGTGGGAAAACATAACACTTTAAGCCGTGTTATCTGATTCATCATGAACACTGTGTGACAGTTTGAAATGATGGACCAAACTCTTTGGAGTGAATGGAACAGCCTATCATCTGATTAAGATCAGTATTACATTCTAGTCATTTCATAGGCTGGTCTCAGCCATGTTCAATACTCACGCACCATCAACTGTGTCAGATTTTCCTCATAGTTGGACTTTATCACATGGTGATGGATGAGCTTCCTTTTCAGCGATTCCAACATTGCAGCTAGTTCATGCTGAGAATAAAACACCTCTTAGTAACGCTTTCACTGATCTGAAAAATATAAATTACTAACCAAGAAATCCAAACCAGGATTGCATACAGGGAATTGCAAATCTTAATGGTTTGTGTTGCATTGAAATTACATCACAGACCTATTATAAGTATATTTAAAAAATTGAGTGGTCATGAGCAACGTAGTCCCACACCCTGAACTCTAATGAAAGTGATATTGTCAATGAAACAAATGGAATGGCAGGCATGGGAGGTGTAGTGTAGTGGTATTGTCACTGAACCAGTAATCCACATTGTTATAAAAACCCAACTGGTCACTAAAATTTGCCATCCCCACCTGGTCTGATCTCCACAGACACTGAATCCACAGCAATAACGTTGACTCTGAAATGGCCTAACAAGCCATTCATTTATATCTAACTGCCGCAACTGATGAAAAGGAATGAAACAGAATGATCCAGCCAGCAGCATGGAACTGATGAGTTACTGCCCTGTTGACCCTGCAAAGTCTTCTTTACTAACATCCCCACAGCTTGGAGATCTGTTCAACTGACATAGACATTCTCACATAATAGTGTCTTACAACAATGTCCCAGGTACCACCATCACCATCCCTCTAACAAGCTAGAATACAGTCGAGATGAAGTCGACATCTGAATCCTTGACATTGATCCCAGAGCCCAACGAACCTTACAGCATCAGGTCACACATGGATGGTCAAGAAAACCACATGCCTACCTCCACCGCTGGTGAATCCACATTCCTCCATGTTGACCATGGCTTGGGGGATACACTGAGGGGGGTCAAGGACACAGATTATACTCTGGGTGACGACTTCAAAGCCCCTCTCCAATAGTGGCTCTGTATCTCTACTGCTGACTGAACTCGTTGAGACCTAACGGGCATTGCTGTTAGTCTGGGTCTGCGATAGGTGGTGAGAGAGCCAACAGGGAAAGACGTACTTACATACAAATTTATGAATTAGGAACATGACCAGGCTACTCATTCCTTCAGACCTGCTTCACCATTCACGGTGGCACAGTGGTTAGCACTGCTGCCTCACAGCACCAGGGACCCGAGTTCGATTCTGCCCTTGGGCAGCTGTCTGTGTGGAGTTTGCACATATTCCCTATGTCTGCGTGAGTTTCCTCTGGGTGCTCTGGTTTCCTCCCGCAGTCCAAAGATATGCAGGCTCAGTTGATTGGCCATGCTAAATTTCCTGTAGTGTTCAGGGATGTGTAGATTAGGGGTTTGGGTCTGGGTGGGATGCTCTGTGGGTCAATGTGGACTTGTTGGGCCGAAGGGCTTGTTTCCAACTGTAGGGATTCTATGATATGATTTGATTCATTCAGTACAACCATTGCTCAATTGATTACTTCACATTCACCCCCTTATACATCAAAAACCTATCTACCCCTGCCTTGAAAATAATCATGTACTCTGTTTCCACTGCCTTTTGAGGAAGAGAGTTGCAACAAGTCATGACTCTCTAAGAGAAAAAGCAATTCTCCTTAACACTACTTTAAGTGGGCAGCTCATTATTCTTAGACAGTGAGCCTTGGTTCTAGAGTGCCCCGTAAGAGGATTTGTCTTTTCCACATTCACCCTGTCAACACTTATCCAGGATCTGACATATTTCATTAAAGTTACCTCTTAATCTTCTAAACTCCTGTGGATACAAGTCTAGCCTTTGTTGCTCATAAAACAATCCACCTTTCTGAGATGTTACTTTTATCCTTTTTAGTGTAGACAGATGCAAAATACCTGTTCTATTCATCTGCCATTTTCTTACTTTCCATTATTAATTCTTTAGTATCTTTAATTTTCTGCAATAAACTTTGATATGCCAATTTATCGAATACCTTTTGGAAATCCAAGTGCAGTGCATCCATTGATTTACTTTTATTCATACCACATGTTACCTCCTTGACGAACTCAAAAAAAATTGGCTTCCCTTTCACAAAACCATGTTGCCTCTGCCTGATAACATTGATATTTTTGAAATATCCAGCTTTAATAATGGCTTAACCTCACCAATTAACCTGTCACAGATACATCTGTCCATGATAGTATCAGTAGAACTGATAATTACACAGTCGTTTAGGATACAATGGCCTATCTTCACACTGAGGACACCCCCGTGTCGTGTGGCACTACGAATGTGCATGGATAGATTTTCAACAGACGTAACTTAAGAATGGACATATATGAGGAGCTATGGACCATCAGTAGCAGCAGAATTGTATGCAACTATAACTTGTAACACAATGGCCCGGCATATCTCCTGCTCTTCCATTACATCAAGCTGGGAGATTAACCCTAGTGACAGACAGAACTAAGCGATGCCATGATCAACAGATCAGATCTAAGCTGTGCAGTCCTGCTACATGCAGCGATGAATGGTGGTGGACACTAAACCAATCACTGGAAGAGGAGACTTCACAAGTATCCCTATCCTCAATAATAGGGGAACACAGCCAATCAGCATAAGACAAGGCTTAAGTCAACCAAAACTGATGATTGATGATTTATCTTGGCCTTCTCTGACCTTCACCAGGATCAGAGATGCCAATTTGATTCACTCCATTCGATATCAAGTAACAGCTAAAACCTATTGCCAAATACTGCAATAGGCTCCTCCTTTGCAGCTGCCCCTGAGGCACTGGACTGAGTGGCCACCGTGGGCTGCCGAGGCTACCACAATTCTGTGCAGCGGAACCGGCAAATCATGGTCGCTGACGATGGAGGCCGGCTGAAGGTCACCAAACTGGTGGAGCAAAGGCACAAACTCACCAGAAAGAGTATCATGGAGGAAAAAAGGGAAAGAACTGATAGAATAAAAGAAACTCTCAAAGGAGAAAGTGGAAGCAAAAAAGAAAGAAGAGAAAGGAGGAAGATAGAGAGAGATAGGTAACGAAACAATTGTCTATGTGGGAGGTAGACAAATGGACAAGGACGCAGACCAGCAAAAAACCTGCAGTGTTTCAGGAAATACAACTGTGAGCAGGCAGCCCGATACCAGGCAGAATTCAGGGAGATGAAAGAGAGGGGAGCCCACTCTGCATTCCTGTCTAAGTCAGCCAGAACAGGACTGTCAATTGCCTCTTCTCCAATGTTCTGCAGAAGATGTATTTGAACAAGGAAGTGAGGTGCTAGCTCAGCAAAGATGGTCTTTGGAAGCAAGGCAGAATTCATCGACCTTGAGGCTGAGACTGGTGACTGGGAGGAGGAGTGTGCTGTGAGGCACAGGAAGAACCCCCAGAAATAGTTAGCTGTGAACTTAACCACGAGCTGGCCATCAACTGTTGAGAGTCTTTTTTAATTTATTCACGGGATGAGGGCATCGCTGGCCAGGAAGCAATGGATACTTTTTTTTATTTTTTATTCCTTCATGGAATAAGGGTGTCTCTGGCCAGGCAGCATTTATTGCCCATCCCTAATTGCCCAGAGGGCAGTTAAGAGCTAACCACATTGCTGTGGGTCTGGAGTCACATGTAGACCAGACCAGGTAAGGATGGCAGTTTCCTTCCCTAAAGGACCAGAGGGGTTTTTCCAACAATTGGCAGTGGATTCACGATCTTCATTCCAGATATTTTATTGAATTCAAATTCCACCATCTGCCATGGCAGGATTCGAACTCGGGTCCCCAGAATATTATCTGGGTCTCTGGATCAACAGTCCAGTGATAATACCATTAGGCCATCGCCTCCCCTTGAGAGATAGAGAGAGAAAACTGACCATCTCAAATAATAAAGCTCATTTGAAAGACAGAAGAAGCTATAGGATCTGACAATATTCTGACAACAGTACAGAAGAAATATGCTCTAAATGCTTTGCCCTTTCGCCGAGCTGTTCCAGTATGATGTACGCTCTGGCATTAACCCAGAAATACAGTTTTATCCTGTTACATCCTGTCCACAAAAAAAGCAGGACAAATCCAACGAGGCTGATTATAGCTCCGTTAGTCTACTCCCACTTGTCAGCAAAGTGATGGAGGTGTCATCGGCATTGCTATCAAGCAGCACTTAGTCAACAATAATCTGTTGACTCATGCTCAACCTGGGAATGACAGTGCTACTCAACCCCTGATGTCAATACAATCCTGGACCAAATATGGACCAAACAGCTGAACTCTAGAGGGGAAGGGAAGGTGGCTACTGAGTTGATCAAGTATGGTATCAAGGGCCCAAGCAAAACTGGGGTTTTTGGGAATCAGGAGAAACCTCTCCGCTCTCAACACTGCTTCCCTCTCTCATCCTGAATTGGAAACATTTATCGATTTTACTTCCAATTTCCATTCCACTCTCACCTTCACCTGGCCAATTTCTGACTCCTCCCTTTCCTTCCTCAACATCTCTGTTTCCATTTCTGGGGACAGGCTGGCCACCAATATCCACAACAAACCAACTGACTCCCACAGTTACCTTAACTATACATCCTCACACCATACTTCTTGTAAAGATTCCATTTCATTCTCCCAGTTCCTCCATCTCTGTTGTATCCGTTCTAATGAGGTCAACTTTGACAAGAGGCCTCTGAAATGTCCACCTTCTTACTCAACCAACGATTCCCCAGCTTCATAGTTGACAGGGACCTCAGCCGTGTCCGATCCATCTCCCGCACTTCCACCCTCATCCCGTCTCTTCCCTCCGGCAATAGTGATAGGGACCCCCTTGTCTTTACCTAACATCCCACCAGCATCCACATTGAGACGATCATTATCCACAACTTCTGCCACCTCCAGATACATCTTCTCCCCCCCTCCCTTGTCAGCCTTCCGCGGGGGCATTTCCCTCTGGGACACCCTTGTCCACTCCTCCTTCACTCCCAACACTCTCCCCAATGGCATTTCCCCCTGCAAATGCAGGAGCTGTAACACCTGCCTGTTTACTTCATCCTTCCTCACTATCGAAGGCCTCAAACACATATTCCAGGTGAAGCAGCGCTTTACCTGCACTTCACTCAGTCTAGTCTACTGCATTCGCT